GTGCGTGCGTGCGTGCGTGCGTGCGTGTGCGTGCGCGTGTGTGTGGAAGCGCCTCTCTAACGCGGCGCGGTGCCTGCCGCCTGTGAAAAATGAACGTTTCTGCCAGCCGCAGCATCCACTCCTGTGGATCGTTGCACACTGCGACGCTTTTTCGCGCAACTTGTGGCACACTGTTGTCGACCATCGTCGATTTAGCGAACGTTCACGAGTGTCGATAATGATAGTCAGTAGAATAGCTCCTGGATTCTTGTTCGTAGCCGCGTCCAAGCTGAACAATCGAATCTTCAAAATACGAAAATACCGGTTGTTTGACACCTTTATCTTCCCCTCTAAGCTAGGTTTATCGCGGCAATGCCGCTACGTATTAGCCGGTGATATCTCGCGAATCGTGGCTCCGCATAGATCGCAAAAAGGTGAGTTTCGGCCACAGCCAGCCGAGAACCAGTTCTCGAAACGTTGCTACGTTCTAGATAGAGACTAATTGACATTCGTAGCGACCAGAACTTGGTCATCGAGCTCCATTCGAGCGTTTCCTCTCTTCCTTCGAGACCGGTGGGTCTCGAGATCGGAGCCGGGGGACCGGCCGAAGAGTGATCGATTCGCGAGAAAAGACGGATTCGACTGATCCCCGTGAAAAAGATACTAGCGTCAGGTGTCATCGCGTGGAATATTCGTCGTAGATTAACGATCCAATTATCCTGGATACATTATTCTGGGAACGTCTTTTCTCGCGATGCAATCGAAACACTTACGACGAGAGTCGTAAGCTCGACGATCGGGGTAAGACGTTACCTCGATGACAGGTGTCTCTAACCGCAGTAACTCTCTACCACTGTACAGCTCCAGGCCAGGAAGACCACCGAAGAGAGCTTCCGTCGGTCTGAGTCTCGCAACCAGCCACCTGGCTGCAGCGACCGGTCACCACCCCCAGCATTCGCTCAAGAAACACCGAATGGACAACGGGGATTACTACGAGAACGGGCATTTGGGTAAGTTTCGTTACGTTTCCTTTTTGTCCAACAAGCCGCGTCGTAAGTATCACTGACGCGACGGGACACTCGATCGATCGGCCCGCTCGACGACTACTTACGATTCCGGTTACGATCGTGCCAACGAGTTTTCAGCCATTCGTTGCCTATCCTCGTGTCCCGGCATTCCAAGACGTTCGTATTTCACGCCGTATTTCGCGTCCTTTCTCCCGATAACGCCACGTTTTATGGAGAGGCCGCGAATTTCGCGACAACGTTGTACCACGATGTCGTCGGCCAGGTAGTCGAGCCATTCGAACTGTTGTTCAACGACCGTGAACAAAGAGACGAGACGAGACGCGAGAATACTACATATAGTCGGGAAGGAAGCTTTTACGGTGTAAAAGGTATGAAAGGAGTTTCTGAATCGATTGAAAAACGAAATTTATCAATTGCAAAATTCTTCGCGTTATGTGGTGAATAATGAAGTGGTCGACGCAAAATAGAAAATAAAATAAATACAAGAAATGCTAGAAAGTAGGTGTAGAAGTGACCGAATAAGGCAAGAAGGAGAAAAGAAATATAAGAAATAAATAAAAAAATATAAGAAACAAAAAGCGACTATTTACGTATAAATAAACGGAGAGCTTGAAGAAAGCAAACTATTTGTAAAATTTGCAGGCGTACGAATTCTGTAAATCCAACTTTCATTATTTTTCATTTACATCTATTAGAAATGTAATTTACCAGCACTTATCTAGAAAATGAACAGCGCCCGTAGATTTCGCTTCTTTTAAAAAGCATCTCGCACTAGATGCCCGTACGTATGCGTAATTAGAAAAAATTAACATTGGAAGTGTGAAAAAAGGCACGAAATCGTGGAACAGGCGAGCCAATTGTAGGCAAACGCGTACGAACGCGTAGCCCTGGTACCAGGGGCACGCACTTGATTACTGCCATCCGTATACGCGCCGTGCCACGGTGACCCTACCGATCAATTAATTAGGGGAATCAAACACACTTGGAGTGAGCAAATTAACTGCAACTGCACCGTCGTGTTGCGGCCTGTGGTAGCGGTTGCCGATGTCGATATTGCATCGATGCATACTCGTACCACCGACTGTTTCTCCGCGTCGTCCCCATATCTTCTTCTTATTGTTTAGACGCATGGTTGTCGATTCCGTGTCCCTCCGTTCGATCCTCCATCATCTGCTTCATGCGCGATAAGAATAGAAGTCCGTAGCGTGTAACGCTAATTAACGTTCTTGAAGCATCGTGGCGTTTCTCAAGAGCACGGTTATTCGTTCTTCGATAGAGCGGTAAACTGTCGGTAAAGTCGGATCGTAAAATCGCGTGGAACCGCGTCGGCGATCGCCGTTCGGAAATTGGTTAAGCAAATAATCGCGAATACGCCGACCGTTCAATTTTACGGGCAAATACGTTTGACGGTGCAACGTTAATGAATTAATGCCACGCGGACGAGCGCGCGAGCGCGAGTACGAGTACAGTTTCGGTGCTGCACGATCGCAGCCGGGGTAAACGTTGAAACGGCGAGCAATTAATTACGAGCCCGCGGTAATTGTATAATTATTTTACGATTGGATCCCCTTTCTGGGTACGATTGATCGCAGCGCTCGCCGCGACCGCTGCGAGCCTTCTCCTTTTAACATTCGTCGCCGCGCTCTCGTACCAAGGATACCCGGCCTCCGCTTCGCGTGGAACGCTGTCCACGGGGATATCGCTTGTTACGCGGCAACCTCGTAAAATGGGAATCGTAAACATCCTTGTGTCGCGTATTCGTCGCCAATCTTTAATCTTCCCGCGTTGTAAAAAGCTACGTGCCTTTTAAAAAAAAAAAAAAAAAAAAAAAAACATTCGTGGAAGTTGCGCTCTTTTACTCGGGAACGTTCCAATCAACGATGTTTTTCCTCTGTAAAACTGTGAATAAAAAATAAGCAAGGAACCTTTACATAAATACGTAGGATACATTTACATAATTACACGGTACGAAAATTACAAGAATATATATATGTCTAATCGTCGGATATGTGTTATCGAAGACGCGATCGTATACTTAGGTCGCGTTTGTGTGATTTTAGAATCGAGGATTATCTTCCTGATACCATTCCTCGCGATATGAATTTACCGCAAGAGTAGCGATAATTCAGTACGAGAGACTGCTCTACGCTGTCTGTTTTCGTTTGCGAGACAAAAAACTAGACAAAAAGAATAGAGAAGAGACAAGAGCATAAAAAAGAAAGAAAGATGAAAGCAAAGAACACGGAGAAGAGAAACGGAGGAGAGAGTGCAGGAGAGTGAAAGCAACACGTATGTTCCAGGAGAGCGGAGTGGCTCGCGTACAGGGGATTTTTTTCAATTTGGACCGGTAGGCGAGCGCCACTTGCCATAACGCAATTAATAAACTCAACGAGCGAGATCCGATCCCGATAGCGGCGGCGTAACATCCATTCGGGACGTAGTGGGCACAATGGCCGGCACAATGGCCGTGTATACGTGCACCGAACACTCTGTACAGCCAGGACGGCCCGATACGCATCTATGTTGTCTCTACAAAATTAAAACCCATGAGAAAAATAAATAGCCCGAAGGGGAGAGCAGGGTAGGAAGCGGGCAACTCGAGATGGAGAGAGAGATAAGCAGAGAAAGAGAGCAAAGCAGAGTAACGCGTGCGGGGGTTGCTTGGCTTAGGTTAACGACGTGTATGCTTACCACGTGTGCACGAGAAAGTCTCTCTCTCTCTCTCTCTCTCTTTATTTCTCCCTTCGATAGATGTAAAGCCGCATAGCTCGCACCTTTTGGTCGGATTCGCGGCTTATGGCCGCTCGCTCTCTCCATTTGGCCCGATCGTTTTTCGATGAAACTATTCCCGAAGCTGGAACTATTAGGCTACGCTGCGTAATAAACTAATGACTATCGGCTAACGTCGAGCCGTTCGTGTGCGTTTCGGCCCCCGGTAATTATTTAATGCATCGATTACCGAAATAGCATTAATCAAATTGGCCGGCCGCTATTTATATTATATGACCTAATGCACGGCGAATCGTATATTAATGCGCAAACTAAGTAAATTATCCAAGCATCCGCGTTTACGCGGCGAACGCGAATTTCCCTTCTTTTCACCTCGAGAGAGACCCTGAGTGGCTCCGTTCTGGTCGACGCCGATCGACGCCGTGCCGCGAATCGACGATGAAAATATACCGATGGCACGTGGAAACAGTGGATAAACGCGTAGGGAACGCCTCGCGGTTCGCGAATAGGTGCGAATCGGTGGAGGCAAGGGCGACCAAAGAGGAAGAGTGGTGGGTGTCCGGGCGGATACAAAAGAGGGGCGACCCCGAGTGGGTGGCTGGGGTGGTTCGGTCAGTCGCGGCTGCAACGACGCTGTACCGGCCAGCGAATGCTCATAAAAGCATTGATTAACTGTTGCCGGTCGTAGGTCAGCCAACGCGGCTGGCTCGTGTACCAATAAAACCCGGTTAATAGGGGGTCGACGTCGCTTCGATATCGCACCATCGATCGTTCTATTCCGTTCCATTTCGTTCCACTCCGTTCGGATACTTCTTTTTCACAGGGATGATTTTCACACGGTGGGAAAGCCAACCTCGGATAGTTTCAGGAATGCACGCTGAAAACATCGAGTCGGATCGCGTATCGGTTCAAGATAATTAACGAGTCGCGGTAAAGGACGAACCTCTGGAAAGGCGAACGACTCGGGGTTCTCACGGGGAAAGAGATTCGCGTTTCAAGATTTGTATTTGAGGATGGATGTTGGCGAGCCAGCAACGAGAACCACTGATTTACGTGGAATTTTCAGGCTGCGGTCAGAAATTACGCGCAGAGCGGAGGGTCGTGGCTACGAGGGACGCGTGACCGAAGCCAAAACCAAGCGGTCCAGAGATTCGACACGAAAGTGAAATAATCCTCGCGATTAAAGCGATAATAACGTTCCACGAGATTATTACACGATACGAGACGAAGGGGAGATGTTGCACGATGTTTTCGTTTCACAGCCCGTTACGATTTTCTACCCCGCGGTGCTTTATGCCATCGTATTTTCTCATCCATCGTGGACGATTACTTTGGCGCGAAGCAGAGGTGAGATTCGGGACAGAGACAAGGACGAAATGGTGGGAGAAGCGAGTTCCGGAGAGTAACAAAACGCGACGCGCCGGTGAATTAAACCCGTTCGTTGCTGCAACATCGTTCTGCGTGGCACGCCGTCGTAAATCAGTCGGGTCAGGAATTTTCGCGTTTCGCCGGTTTTTGCCTCGTAACGAAACACTCGCATGCGCCGACTAAATGAAGACGTTAACCGGTGACGCGGGAAAAAAGTAGGCTCAGCCTCGCTGCAGGGAGTTGACCAGACGAACCGTGTTTGCTTTAACGCTCGAAAACGTGGAACGAATCTGGTCGTGTCTCGACCTCTTCCTCCCACTCCCATCTTCTCCACCCATTACCTCTACGACCACCCCCGACTCTGCCGCTTGAAAAAACTCGAAATCGAGCGATACGACTTTCTCCATTGACTCTGTATGTTCAACTGCATAGAAACGCGTTATAGGTCGTACAGTTGCGATAACTCGTCGGCTGCTCGTGCATAAAAGATTGTCGCGTCCAACCCTCGCCATGAATGAGCTGACGCGCGTCGTTCTGTGCCGTCGCGTCATAAAACGCGCGGTGATGCTCGCGGGACAACGCCGCCGGTTTTAATACGACTTAATTACCACTTTCGACGCGCCGTTTAATCGGTCGTTCTATCTCGTCGAGACCATAGACGTCATCCGTCGATCGGCACGAATTGTGGATCGAAGTTTGATCGAACGAGATTTGGAACGTACACATGTACGTAAATACGTACATACGCGTGCCTCGGTAGCCAACGTGCGTGCCAGGATGAACAAAGTTGGGAAAAGGTGGATTTACACGTGGTGCGAGTCGCTTACGAGCAGAGAAGAGTGTACGTGCGCTTTTTAGGAGAGTGACGGCAATTTCCTGCGGTTAAAACCGAGGCTAATTGCTTCAAAAATCTGTACTAATTTGCCGGCCATTCCGGCGCGATGGTTCACGGGGTAGAAGGGGGCGGAGGGGAGAGGCAGGTTGGCTGGTTGGCCGTCGGTGTTCACCCGGTACCGGGGCGATGGTGGTAGTCAACAATTTACTCGTTAGCGGCCGGCGAGTGCCGCGCCGCTCAATTAACTCGCGAATCAACGAGCGGGCCGCTTTGTCCTCGAGCGAGCGAGCATAGCGCGGCGCTCTAGCTCGCTCGTTCGAGTATTTTTATAATTTGTACGGGCCTCGTGCCGGCCCTCGTGACCAACAAACCGGCGGAACTGCGTGAAACAACGGACCAAGCCAACTCCGGGGTGGAGGAAAAAAACAGCTACGCACACGAATGGGCGCGTGCGCGCGCGCAAGCAAGTACGTACACGCGTTCCGCGTCTACAAACGGGCGAAACGGTCGGAGGGAGAATAACGGTAGAAAAAAAAAAGCGCGAGGGAAATGAAAACCGACACCACGGATCGTGGCTTGTTTTCTACCGGTGAAACCTCCCCCTCGACACGGGGTAAATGTCTACTTTCGAGGGCGGTCGACCGGTTGCTCGTTTACACGGGCACATGTCAAAGGTCCTGGTTACGCGTGTACCCACGCAAACGAGCCGCGGTTTTTTGCCGCGCTATTTATTTTCTTTTCATTTCCGTTCTCGTTCGGGCTGAAAGCGA